TCTATCTATCCAGCTATCTATCTATCTATCTATCTATCTATCTATCTTTCTATCTATCTTTCTATCTATCTTCAGAGAAGTGAGAAGCGGCTTCTTTTCTCCACCAATCACTTACTATATCAATACTCACATTCCCAAGCTCCTTGAACTGCTAAGAAATGTGTTCTTAGCCGGATGGACTCCCCTTTGTCTCGGCTATTTCACAGGGGAAAAAAAAATGCCGAGGAAGCAGGGCACCGTCTTCATCAACGACCCCAACGGCCATGAAGCTTCATTCAGGCCCCTTCTTTGAAGTTTCCCCTTTTCTCCTAAGAAGGAGCCGCGTCTCTAGATTGGCACCGTCAGCCCCGTACCCTTTCTTTCCGCCGAGCCAAGCTTTAAGCAGCTGGCAAAGGAGAATTCACCGGGATGGGCACAGTTAGCAGAGATCTGCCTGTTGTAAGGACTCAGAGGCCACCGAGCTTCCGAGAAGTTTAGGAAGAAACAAAATAGAAAGTGGAGTCAAATGGAAAAGGAGGGAGGGAGATCACACACCCATGTCCAAAACGCCTTTCACGCATTCAAGACATCGCTTCTCCTTTTCTAGCATGCTGCAAACACTTTACAAAATCCACCTTCAGGTCCCCCTCCACCCCAGAAGGAGCCCAGTTCTTAATTCTCAGCAGCGAAATCCAAACAGCGGGAATACAGCCAACCCTTTCCTGCTTCTCCAGCTCAAAAGATGAGAGACAACGCAGGGCACACCAGTACGCAATTCCCACTTTGCGTTTGGAGGAACGGCTTGCTTTCCAGCAGTAAGTAAATTATCAAGGCAAACAGATACACCTGGAGTTGGGTTACAGGACGTGCCCTTTCCGTGCCCCCAAACCACAGGGGGACCTTGCAGGATTTTTCACTTGCTTGACTTCAATTCCAGCAAGGATCCCTTCGGATGAACGTCTCCCTCTTCCTTCCACTTACTCTCTCCCCCAGCAGAACCGCACCAAGGTGCTAAGTACAGGCGTGAAGTAACATGAAGATGACAAAGGGTTTATTATCAGCACATAATGCACCATATTAGAAAACAGTTCATCAACTTCTCTGGGGTTTGATTTATTTATTTTTTAAAAAAACAGGTCAACTCCCAGAAAAATTAATACAGCTTTGGCAATCGTTCCTGCAGACGCTCCAGCAAAACTGACATCGGCGCTGCGTTTTCCTGCTCCATCGCATCTGTTTCTAAAGACCTAAATTTTAGGTATTCTGGTATTTTTGTCCTACTCTTCGATCCAAATTACATACACGCCTGAAAACACAGAGTCATGCCAACCTAGGCAATGCTGAACAAACCTTTGGTTACACCCTGCTAGTAACTAAACAGACATTCTCTAAAGCACGCAAACCACCACTCTTGAAACACAGGAGTCTCAAAGCAGATATCAAGCATCGCTAGTTTGCACCTAGCACCCCAGAAGGAGTAACTTCAAACTTTAAGGGGCCAACTCTTTGCAATTTGAAGGATGAAAATTTACTTTTAAAATGATGTTTACAGCACCCAGCTCGTACTGCTGAGAACATTTTTCATCCCTTAAACTGCAATGCATGAGACACGCTGCTTTATTAGTTCTAGACTTCCAGAGCAGAACTCTTTATTTTTTCCAAAACCCTGTCCCTATTTTGGGGGAGATCCAAAGTGCCTGGTTGAAAGGCACCTACAGGCAGGAAGATAAAACCACGTATGATTTGCCCTGTTCTAAAGACATGTCAGGTCAGGCATCCTCCTGAGCATTTCTGAAACAATCAGGAGTTTTCCCTACAAAATCTGAGAGCAGGAAGACCTGGACTGAAGGCTTTCCAGTGAGGTGCTCGCCAGCAAGCACAACGATTAAAACACCAGAGGGGATCCAGCAAATTCCTAGCTCAGCCACCCTCTGTAATTGTAATTAGCTCCCCCCTTACTTCTCTAAGAAGTGGATACGAGGAAGACTGAAAGAAAGAAAGCTGAGCCCGTGCAAGATTGCTTCCCCCCTTGTTACGGGTGCAGGGAGCGTGACACACCTCCGTTTTCATTTCATTTTGCAGCTGGCGTTACCACCGGTTCAAAGCCAGAGCCGAAACCAGGGAGCGAGAGGAACACCTTCCTGATCCGTGCGGTCCTCCGCTAGCTTCGGACCCCGGGATCTGAAGCAGGCGAGCAGATCAAAGATGGCTGCTGTTCCTAACACAGCTCTCCCAGAGCTGAGGAAGAGAAAGTATGTTGCCCTGTTTATCTTGGGAAGGACGTGGTAACGGGGGTGAGGGTACACGAGAGCGGAGGGCTTGTTCCAAAGCTGGGTCTCCTACCTGTTTTTTCTTTGATTTCACACAGGACACTGAACAAAGCGGGCTTCATTCTATGGCAGTTGAGTGCGTGCTTTCTGCAAGAGAAGAAAGAGAAAGGGGGGGGGGAAAATAAACACCCAGCAAAAAGGGAAGGAAAGATATATTAGCCCGAGTGGCGGGGTGAAGGGGGCACCTTTCTGCCCCAAAAGAAGACTTTGTTTTTTCTTTTTAAGTACAAGTTGGGGCCTCTTCCTCTTAGCGTCCTGCTCGACACCCGAGAGCAGGGCACCCTTTCTGCTCCTAGCAAGAAGGGGCTCCATTGTGGCTAAATGCAGAAGTTCAAAGGGAAAGCAGGAAAGGTGAAAAGTGAAGGGGGTGACTGGGGGGGTCAATTCCTCTCTTGTACAACAGCGAAGGGCAGCATGAATGACTACCTGCTTAGAAACACCCCCGTGAGAAGTCGCTGCTCTTCAAAAACTATCCTTGGTGGGAAGAGAGTTTGGGTTTCCTTGACTCTCCCCTCGACTCCCAAATCCAGAACCACCCCTGAAAATCTCCCAGCCCTTTCTTCTGGCAAATAAATCACAGCTTGTCAAGGCATTCTCAATCCACTCCATCACCAGCAGTGATTTATGGAAAGAGAAGGAACTTCTGGAGTTCAACTCAGGGCTTCGGCTATTGTAGTGACGGCCTTGTGAAATTATCCCCCCCCCCAAAAGAAGAAAATTAAAGGAGGGAGAACATCTGTCTCTCTCCCCATCTTCCTCAGCCAGCAGTGTTTACTTCGAGCCCCCACACCCAAGGAAGAAAAGAGAAGAAACAAGAAAACAAGAAAAACAACAGAGGCCAAGCAGCGTGTGCCACATTTCTGAGAATGGCGAGAACCCAACCAGAAGTTCTCCCATGCTCGCATTTTCCTAATGGAAATACAAAGATTTGGGGGCTCAGGACTGAAGGGGAGGCAGACAAACAGGCTAAATTTCCTCCACTCACCTACCCCCCCCCCCAAAAGAAGAAAATTAAAGGAGGGAGAACATCTGTCTCTCTCCCCATCTTCCTCAGCCAGCAGTGTTTACTTCGAGCCCCCACACCCAAGGAAGAAAAGAGAAGAAACAAGAAAACAAGAAAAACAACAGAGGCCAAGCAGCGTGTGCCACATTTCTGAGAATGGCGAGAACCCAACCAGAAGTTCTCCCATGCTCGCATTTTCCTAATGGAAATACAAAGATTTGGGGGCTCAGGACTGAAGGGGAGGCAGACAAACAGGCTAAATTTCCCCCACTCACCAACCCCCCCCCCCAAAGAACTGATGAGCATAGCTCCAGGCACTCCAGCAAGGAAATCTCAGATCATTTGCACATGCAGACAGGATCTCTCTACTCAAACTTTGACTCTCCAGCTCTTTTTTTGCTTGCTGGCTTGCTTAATTTGGGGAGGGGGGAGCTTGTCATTTTTCCTTTAGCAGGAAGAGAGTCAGCATTTGCTGCTTGTTCTTTTGTTTTTATTTTTGTTTAGCTTTTTAAAGGGGGGGGCTGCAACTTCTCCAGCATGACGAGGGTTGTGGGAGGGGGGAGTGGTGGAACTGCAATTTCTCCCTCGGCATTCAAAGGCTTGTCTGTTGGGTGATGGAGGGAAGGGTGCAATCCCCCCCCCCCCAGCTTCCCAAACCTGACTCGCTTGGACTTTTTTTTTTTTTCTTTTAAAGACAGGAAAGAAGGTTGTGATCTTCCTCCTGGCTGCATGGGGTCACTGATTGGGGAGGGGGATTAATCCTCCCCCCCTCCCCACACAGGCACCCAGAGGGGATGCTAATTGGGGGTTATTTAGTTCAGTTAATGGTATCGCAATTTCTTTCCCCCTCGGGAGAGTTGTTTGTTTTTTTTCTTTTCTAACCCCTTTTTTTGGCGGGGGGATCGCAATGTCTTCGCCCCCGGCATCTGGAGGCTGCCTCGAAGAGAAGCAGCTTTAAATCCCAGCAGGACGTAGCCAGCCGCCAAAGACCGAACAAAACAGGGCCCTGCGGATCAACAGCGCACACACAGGCACACACACACACGCGCACACGAAACACAACACCCCGGAGCGCCCCAGACAATCGCGCGCGCGCGGCCCCCCGCGCCCCCAACCCTCGGCTTGCTCGCTCGCTCGCTCGAAAGAGACCAACTTTGCTTGCGCCTCATCCAAGCTCTGGTCGGTGATGGTCATGATCTGGTGGAGGATGTCGCCAATGTCCTGCTTGCGGCCGTCGCCGTCGGCGCCCTCGTGCCCGTGGGGAGGCGGCAGAGCCATGCCCCCTTGCACCGCGTGGCCAGCCAGGTTCACGCCGGCCAGCGTCTGCAGCATCCGCGATTGCTCGTCCATGCTTCCCGCCGCAACGATGCACTTT